CTAGAGCAATGAATAGAGAAGGTGGACCCGCTGGTCCGGGTGTCTGGGGGGATTGGTAGAGGTGATGAAAGAGAGAGGGATAATGAGAGAGGACGGACCCACCTATGGCATGGGTCCATGGCTAGGGGGAAGAGTGAGCGAGAGAGGGCAGGACAGTAGGGAGGGAGGGACGAACCCGCTTATGGTGCAGGTGCGTGACTTGATCTATGAGAGAGAGAGAGCGAGAGAGTAAAAGAGAGGGAGAGATGACAGACCTACTTATGGTGTGAGTTCATGACTTAGGCGAGGGAGAGAAAGAGAGTAAGAGAAAGAGAGGGAAAGGGAGATGGACCCGCCCTAGGTGCAGGTCTATGGTTAGAAGAGAGAGGGAGAGAGAGTATGAGCAAAGAGAGAAAGAGAGAAAAACGAGAGAAAGGGAGGGTGGGAGCTCAAACCCGACCTTGGTCCAAGTAGAGAAGCTTGGACGCATCCTGGGTTCGAGTTGAGAGAGAGAGAGAGGAAATGGAGAGAGAGAGAAACAAGGACAGAAAGAGAGTGCAAAGAGAGAGAAATAGAGGGTGGGAGCTCAGACCCACCCTAAGTCCAAGTGGAGAGAGAGCGAGCAAAAGGGAGAAAGGGAGAGAAAAAATAAAGAGAGAAATGAAGAGAGTGAGAGCTCGGACCCACCTCAGGTCCGAGTGCAGAGAGCGAGAGCAAAGAGAGAGAACGAGAGGGTGGGAGCTCGGACCCGCTCTAGTGTGAGTGGAGAAAGAGAAAGAGATAGAGAAGAGGAAAGAGAGTGGACCTGGATAGACTCTAGCCTAGGTGCACCTTCAAGGATCCCTTTGCATGCACCTTAGAGAGAGGACTTGGTCTTTGCAGGCTAAGACTACGGTCTAAGCACTTTTCATGAAATGACAAAACCATCCCTTTTTGAGGGGCCTTTTGCCATTGTTAGGCCTCGAGAGCTTTTTCGGCTGTTTCCGGTGGTAATTCGAGCGATCAAACATCGTAGAATCATTGTTTGCATTATTAGGAACATTTTGATGCCCATTGATCGTCTTGAAACGCATTTTTAAGGAAGAACAAAAAATCCGGTCAAGTCCATAAACTTTTGATTCTTCGACCACCGATATTATATGATCCACGGTGTTTCGAGACTTCATTTTCATCACAAATTGCAGAGGATACTATCACGATCATTTTGTGATAAATTTCGTCTATTTCCATCTCCATTTGCGCATGTTCCAAATTTGAAAGGTCACCGAAAAACGGGATTATGGGGATCGAAAAATGTGCCTTCTTTAACGTCAAAATTAGGTATCATCCGGCTTCCGATCACGCTAAAAAATTATATCAAACTGAAGCCCTTCGAAGCACGATCGCAACAAATGCATACTTGCGACAATCTGACATCAAGATCTCAATCTATAGGCTCTCAAAGAATGACATGTTTCTCTTTTTAAAATCTGAATTTTCAACTTTTGAGCCCATCTTCTCTTTGAGAATTCTCTCGTTTCGGGCCACGACATGATGCATGCCATATGTCAAAACGTGTGTATCGACGAGATCTAGCTCATGTCCGAATTTGAGTGTAATTGGACTCGAGCAATTTATGAGTATTTGAAATTCATCCCAAAATACGAAAACACAGTTTTTATAAATGGAAACTGGTTCACTAAGGCTCCACTTCAATAGTGTAAACCCATCATTTTTTTGGTAAGTTAGGCCCAAAATGATCCCGGAGGGTTCAATTGAGCCGAAATTTGGTATCTTAGGGTTTTTCAACATTCCAAATCCAATAGAAGTGGTCTGATACTCTTTTGAGACCTAAAAAATAGGGTTGTAGTTGTATAGTCTATTTTCAGTTTGATTGAAACTGGATTTGAAAACTGAGTTTCATCCTGATTGGCTCAAAACTTGTTTGAACGCAACGAAACTTTACGGGTGTCCTTATTGCCTTCAAATCTACCCTCTCATGCAATTTGAGGTCATTCTGATGCTTCCTTTGAGGTTACTCAATATCTGGTGACGTTTTTGGCACAGGCAAGACCAGGTTACTACCGGCTATCTCCTTATGTGTCCTAAAGATACAAGTACATCAAAAATGATGTATAACAATTGACACTACTGAAACACATGTGTGGAGTATGTGCACTATGCTAGTATATATAATTTGATTTTTTTTATACAACTATTGATATTGTAATGGTAGAAGGAGTGCTTTCAAATTTGCTTAGGGCTTCATCGTTTTGATGACAAAAATGAAAAAATTTGGTGCTTTGGCCATTTCGAGGGAGGACTTCAGATTTTTTTAATTTAATATAAAATAAATTAAATATTTATATAAAAAGATATAAAACTAATGAAAAAGTAAAAATAAAAATTTCAAATTTTCTTTTTATGTAGATATTTATTTGCTCAGCGGAATAGGCTGAAGCTTAGGCCAAATATGTCCGAAGCAGACTCGAATTTGACCGAAGCAACTCGAAGCAGCCCAAATCTGATTGAAGACAACAATATTTTATAAAGGAAAATTGTTTCATGCGTCAGGGACGACATTTCTACATTTGCGGTCGATGAGGTATAAGCATCCATCAAATAGGTCGTCCATCTAAATGCAATTGAAACTAAAGGTCCAAATAGTTTTTTAATAGAATCATTATTTTTTATTTTTAAAATGTATTTATTTTACATGTCCTTAAAAATTAGGTCAAAAAATCCATCACAAAAATAGAATTTTAAGCGGTGAATTATTTCTACATGAACTCATAGAAATTGTGTTTATATATAAATTAATATAAATTAAAATTAAAAATTAAAAATAAAGAAAATACTTTTGCATAAATATTTATTTGATTGGGTTGAAAACGCCAAATCTTTGGCTAAATCTGTCCAAAGCAAACCCGAATCTTACGAAAGTTACTCAAAATGGACTTATGCAGACCGAAGGGGCCGCACCGGGCTTCGCTTCGGTCTAGACCTAAAATCTAAGGCTTTGGCCATTTTTGCCAAAGCAAAGCGAATTTGACACCACTAAGTAGAACTATCAATTATATCTAAATATGACACATTTTGAAAAGGGATCGTATACTATGAGGCCATTTATCTTTAGTACAAAGAGGTCGCAATTAATCCTAACCATTAGATGTTCAATTGGATGGCTTGGTATATGTCACGAAATTCAAGGAAATTTTTGTTGGGCTTTGAGTTTAGTCATAAGTACATTTACAAGTATTTGATTTGCAATTTGATGGACAAGAATGGTGTGACCTCTTTGTCTACTTTTCTTTTTAAAACACGACATAATAATATTTAGAGGCCGTTTGGATACTTGAAAATCTACTACAGGGAAACATATTACAAGGAAATATGAGATTTATCATGTATCTAGGGAAACATATTACAATGAAATATGAGATTTATCATGTTTGGGTACACTTCAACAATATGAAAATGGAAATAAATTTTACAAAGATTTCGCCATAAAATCTATGTAGAATGGCTATGAAATCAATTACATGCTTAATGGGTAATCTAACTTCGTGCGTCTCTTACCAAAAAAATCCTCTATCTCCCGCCATTCTCCCTCTCTCTTATGCCCATCCATTGTCCCGCCATTCTCCCTCTCTCCTGCGTACATCCATTCTCTCGCGATTCTCCCTCTCTCATGCGCATATCCATTTCTACTTTATCTCTAAACTCCACCTATAAGTGTTTGTACATACTGTACACATCCATTTCTACACTCTCTTGCACATCCATTTCTACATTTCTCTATCCCCAATTTGCCTTGTAGCCCTCATCTGAAGCATCATCTCTCATATAAAAAAAAAACAATAAAAACAATAATTGATAATCAATGAGAAATTACACAACACAATCATAATAAAAATTTCATACAACATAATCGAGATTAATAAAAGTTCAATTGAAATACGATACCTCTTTAGTCTCCTCCAATGCCTCAAAATTTTCTACTGCAATTACCAAACCTTGTAGTTTACTAATCAAACTTCTTCCCATTT